ATTCGACCTGTCGATAGACGGAGGTGGAAATGCATATGAAGCCCCGTCACCTGTCTGGCTGATAGCAGGCACGCGCTCCACCTTGGCCTGTTGTTGACGTCGGAAGAAGAGGAACATGCCAGCCGCCAACAGGACAACAACCGTTGCACCGATGCTGATTCCTGCTATGGCACCTCCAGAGAGACTGGACGACGATCCGCTGGCTGCAGGGGTGGAGACCGACCCTGACGATGCCGGGGTTGTTGGCAGAATAGGCGCTTCAGTGCCGCTTGGAGCCCCCGAGCCCTGGACGCCATATGGTTGTACGTTGGGATATACGTCGCATTGGGCGTTGGGTGCGGCAAGAGGGCAGTCCTTAGCGAGGCAGATCGAGTATAGCTGACCGTCGATAGGTGGTGAGCATCGGGTATTGTATCTCGCATTCATATAAGTAGAAAGGGTCGCGGCATCGGTGTCCGAGAATCCGTAGTACTTGCTGGCCGTGATGAGCTGGTCGATGAAATATCCGATATGCGTTTGGTTTAGATCCATGTATTTATGTACGTAGGCTGGGGTAAGAGGAGTGAATGTGTTTTCTAGGAAATTCTTGACACGGCTGCAGCCGTAAATCTTCCCAAAAGCTACATACCAATGGGAAAATAAGGTACTAGTTCAGAGAAGGAACGATAAGCGACTATATAATGTAAGAGTAGCATAGAGGTAACTTACTCTTGATTTGTTCCGCTTTTGATTTCCGCAGTAGCAGTAGAGCCATTCAGGAAGGCAATCAGGGGGGCAGTACCGCCCCCGTCTAGCCAGTCGACGCCCACGGCGTGGTCATTGAGGTTTGTGGTCGCCTCTGTCCAATGTCATCAGTTTGGAGTGGTCGGACAGGAGAGATGTCAGGCTGCCATACTCGATCCGTTGAACCACGGTCGGAGGAAGACGTCACGATCGTTAAACCTCCCGGGATTAAAGATTCCGGTGCTGTTTTCCTCGGCGAATGGGACTGTACTACCGCCGGCGTAGGCGTAAGCAACGATACCCTGCATCAGACGCAGCTGCGTCGTGCTGTTATTTCCGCCAAAGCGCTGAGAGGCATAGTAGTCACAGATGGATTGGTCGCTAGGTCGCTCGGCGAGAACCTGACTCCCTAATAAAAGAAGGAGCGGCAAAAGGAAGACGTGGTTCCGTAGCATGGTGAGCTGGGTAGGAAGAGAGAGGATGCCGGCCACTAGTCGCCGCAGAACAGGAAATGGGCCGCTCCAATATTATAGACGTAACGGACACAAACTCGGGGAAACAGGCGAGCGACTTGTTGGTCTCGTTACCTTGACAGAGTGAATTTTGCATCACACTTTACCCAAAGTAGAGAGGGAGATGTTGGTGGCTGCAGCGACAGCAGGAAGCGAACGAATAGCTGACGGTCCCATGGACAGTTGACCCAATGAACGACCAACATCGTGGACGCGTTAGGCAAGGTACAGTAGACAACCACGCACGGCATGACCCATTGGTTTCCTTTATTTTCCTTTTCAGCCCCGCCCAGCACGGCACGGCACGACGCTTTCTTTGTTCCCCTTGGTTGCTTAGCACACGACGGCGTCTGCAGTTAGGCGTGGAGGGGCTGGGCAGGTTACGCCAAAAGGCGGGTAAGCAAACCGGGCCGCTCTCCGTGCCCTTTGCCTACTGCTCGACCGGACGTACGTTTTCTCCCCGCCTGGCCAGCAATGCTTCCTCTGGTCAAGGCATCCAATCCCGTCAATACGCGTCGGATGCATTACGGACATGCGCCACCCAGCATACGGACATTATTTGGATAAGAACTGACAGCCTTGCGGGGGACAGCGGGGGGGCTCGATCAACGGTAGGCAGCAGTCAGACCCATGGCAGTCTTGGCAGCGGGGAGTCCGATGAAACGGTGGATCTTTGACATGATATGATCCTCGTATAAAAGTACTTTATACTTACGTCCTCGCTGTTACTTGAAGGGCGCCATAGGGAGTGGCCCCGGCGCCCGGAGCACAAGCCATAGCGCCACAGGCGCTGTCACCCCCGTCCTTAGAGGACGGGGCATGGATAGCCCGCGCTATCGGAAGCGTGTCTGGCTTTAATTAATAACGACTTCCTTAGATGTGCAGTAATTAAGTCAGCACACCTAGCTTCCGGCACCCCCTACTTTACGAGTGACACTGTCAGAGCAGAAATGGACTTGAAATACGCGTTCATAACACTTTAAAAGGGGGTGCCCCTATTTTGTCTGGTGTAGCGATATTCCACTAGCTTTACAGTTGTAAGCCCGGTTGTAATGGGTAGTTAGACTTCTGCGCATCTATAAAGATGCTATCATGTGGCTCGGCAAGCGCAAGAAACAGGAGATAAGGAGATTATTAGAGAACCAAGGGGGGCGGGCTGCTGTACCATACTCCGGAAAGAATATACAAGGTCTCGAATATATTTTTCGAGTGAGAAGCGGCAGGCGAATTGCGCACGATCCTACAAGACAAGTGAAAAAAATTAGCTCTAACTCTTTGGATAGGGGACGGACCCGCGAGGCGTTTACAGATGGGTCAGCGTTGGGTGAATTAAACCCCATTTTTCGCGCCAAAAATGTGAACGGCAGGCATCTCTACTGCCGCTGGGGTGCATTGCACTTGTAGTAATTTGTTGGAAAGCGTCAACACTCCATGCGTCTTTCAAGTATACAGACGTCCTCGGCGATATGAGAGCTTGCTCGGCTCCGCCTGCGCCGCCGGCTGTAGTTCCATCTCACTTCCTTTGGGGGTCATTGATTGCCTGAAAGGCCAGAACGAATTGGGCTTGGCTTTTGTCCGTTTTTCTCCTTAAATATAATCCTTCCGCCCTCGAATTTTTGCTCACATCTCTGCGCAATGAATGGTATTGGCAAACCAGTTCCATTGTCCCGGCTTAAACTGAGGTCTTGAAGAGAAAGGCCTCTGGGCTATTTTGATTACGGATGGACAATGTCATAAGCACGCTAACCCTGAGGTCCGGGAACTTGATATTGCGCACGCGGTTCACTAGGTAGGGAGACGCCTATCTGTGAAATCATGCTCAACTTAGTAGAAACGCCTAGGTGGACCGCGTTGGACGTGCTTGCCGGCAATTCCGGGTGGATGATCTTGTGTAGGCCGATGTCGATGAGTATGAGGCTAGACGTGAGTGAGTGCATAGCGTCGGATGGGGGGGACTCAAAGGCATCTTCGTCTCCGAGCCCAAGGACGAGTAATACAATAAAGTTGTCGTCATCGACGAAGCCTCACCGTACCGCTCGATAATCGCCAGGCTCGGGATCTTTGTCAAAAAATATGCACCGACGCGATTGTCGTACGGTCTTGCAGCCAGAGTCGGACGCGATCTCGGGGACACTCTGGGCGCCATGAAGATGGGGCTCATGATCAAGCATGACGGGGTGATCTTGGGACGGCGGCGAGCGAGTGCATGTACGTCATACCGGATAGGAGACGCCGATCAACGACGGCCATCTTATAACATATTTGGGGGCGAGTTCGAGGGCTTGGTCAACAAGCGTATAACAGTCTGGGCTTGCGTGCCTCGGGAGCAAGCACGGGATATTAGGACTAACACGTGCGCGAAGATTACTACGTAGTGTGCCACATGCTACCTCAGTTTCATAGTCAGGGCCACGAACGAGCGCGACAACGAGTTCATGTACAGGGATCCTGACTCAATTCCTGTTCTATTTAGAAGCAACGCTAAAGAGAGCGCGAATGTACAGATTAAGTCAAAGGTTGGCGAGACGTCTGAGCAAGGTGTGCAAGCCCGGAGCGTAACGGCTTGGAAGTATGGGGGCCCAAGCTAAACATGGTGGTGTCCGTGCCCCCCCAAAGCTGCCCCGTGCTCTTGTGCGATTCGTATGCTGGGGCTGGGGATTGCGCGTTATACGCGTTGTGCTAGGTGTTACTCCCCTCCCCCTCTCGTTCCTCCCCAGTCGACGTTACGAGGATTATTGCTTGGCCGGCATAGCATCGGCAAGTCCATGCCAACTTGCCGAGGCGGATTAGCTATGCGGTGCCAGCAGGAATTATAGATAAGCTGGACGAGCCTGGTGTTCCAAGTTTAATTACCATACTGATATGTAACCCGGCATTACGAAATCAGAAGAGTATGTAACGGAACACGTAATACGTCGGCGGACTATTCTTACACTATGCTCTGGGTATGAAAGTTACGACTTTAAGGGCTTTTACGTAAGGAAAGCGTATTCGGTTGCAATTACGTTCCCGGTCTGGCACAGGCGCTGGAAAAGACACTCGCTGCTTAAGATGAACGTATGAGACAATGCACAGAGAAGATGAAACGTTGAGTTATTTACTCCGGCGCAATCATCCATCATACTGGCTTTATACTGCATTCAGGGTAGATGTTATAAGTCGAACCTGAGTAGCGTTTGTTTCCTCCCGGTTTCATGAATCTACGAGCTGTATTAACGATATCATCGGCGACCATGAAATACAGCAACGAGAGAAGGTGGCAAAACTAGCGCACGGCCATTTGCTGTAGTCATACATAAATCTCGTGAAGGACCATCAGACCACGAAGGTGGATGAGATTTAGCTAGTGGCTACAATCTAGTGTCGAGGATGAGTGGGTTAGGGTGGCGGACGGCATCGGAAGCTGACGCAACGAGCGACGGTGAAACAATAGTGCTCTTCAGCATAGATTACATTATAAAGATCTGGGACTTGGGCCGTGTCCGAAGGTCTGCGCAGAAGCACGCATTTAAGCAGAAGAGCTCCCTGGCAATTTTCAGTCAGCTGCATCTGAGTCCAGACCAACTAAATATCTAATATTACCCTTAGTTCGTTCTGACGATCCATCGAGGCTTAAATTTAACTGACAGTCCATGCAGAAGACACAGTCAAAATCGAACATTTACAGTTCTTAGCATCACCTCGGGAACACACATCGACCCTCAGCCCCGGCTATAGAAGATGAAATTTTCAGTCACTGTTCTGTCGGTCCTTATTGGGCTTGGAATGGCTGGCCCAGTTCCAGTCAAACAGCTGCAGCAGCGACAACTGGGTGCTCTTCTTGGTGGCATTCTCGGCGGTGCCGGCGGTGCTGGTGCCTCAGCTGGAGATTCTGGCAACGCAGCCGCCAATGCTGGCAACGCCGCCGGAGGTTCTGGCGACGCAGCCGACGGTGCTGACGCGGACGGGACCCAGGCCGAGGCTGCCCAGGGTGGGGGGGGAGCGGCTCAAGGGGCGGGTACTCTGGCTGATGGGATCACCAACACCGTTAACAATGCTAAAAACGGCGGTGCTGGGTTGGGCCAGTCGATCCCGGAGATCGTCCAGGGCGGTTTGGCTCTCGGGGGCCTCAAGAAGGCGTCTTAAGGGACCACCGCGCCAACGCTGAATAATGTAATTTTGACGTCAACTTAAATGAATGAAGTTGCTGTTGAACTACTATGCAGTATCTGAAATCTGGAGTCAGACCGCCCTTTGTAAAGCCAGTGAGTGAGATTAGATCTAGCTAGAACGGGCTGGAGTTCAATGAGCGATATAAAGCAGTTTTTTTTTAATTCGGCCATCTACCAATCCTCGTAGTTCGACACTGAGTATAAAGAAAGACAACTGAATCAGACGCCGAGAAGACTTTCGCGTTTATCTTTATGTGGTACATTTTAGAAGCCAGAGTCATTATTGACGGACTTGCCCCCTTAGCCGTGCCTAGTTGGGCGTTTAGCCATGTGTCGATGGCCCACCTGCCCGAAGCTCCAAAAAGACTATTTACTCAACGAGCCTTGAATATTTGTCACCGTGGCAGACTCAAGCAGATGAGCTGATGCCCCCGCTATGCACAAATTAAGGGGCACACGGCCTATACCGGACAGACCCGTCGCTAAACTATTTGCCCTCTTACATGACCTATACAAAGTTCTCCAAGCGCAAAAAGCTTCAAAAATCCGGCAGGTTGTATCTTACGCACAAGTCTCCATTGTAATTGACTTGGCTCGGCAGCAGCCAGCCTATCAAGTTGTCGTCCCTCCTTCTACGATGTTACAGAGCAAGTCAACTGCGTGAACTACTAAGGAGGCCTGATCTTAACAACTCGAGGACCACCCAATTTTGGCTTTATGTGTTGTAGTGTCGTATTGCATAACAGTAAACGGTGTATTATTCAACTGTCATTCGATCCACATTTCATCCCCATGCCACGTGCGGCCCAGGACCGTACTTTATGTTGCAAGGAAGCAACCATGTACCTGTACGGAGCTCAAGCTTTGTCAAGCTATCTTGAGGCCTCGTACCTCTGGAGTCGAATATAGGTACTGAGTATAGAATATTCGCAGTATAGGTAAGAGATAGAAACTGTTAAGGAGAGTGGGCATAAGGGGCCACAGTCATGCCTAGTAGACCTAATAGTTATATATATGGAAGCCTACCTAACTAAAATAACTCCCCTAGCTTAAGGATATTATATAGGCTTAACTTAGGTATAGGAATATCTTAATGCCCTCTTTTAGCTAGCTATATATAGTTACTATACCTATATAAGCCCCTCCCTTATCCTAATAGATAGACTAAGATATATATTACTAAATTTACCTTTCTATGCCCCTATTTCTTCTACTGTGCTCTCAAGCCCCTGCTTGAGAGAAACAATGTGTAACTTTAGACGCATAATGCACTTAGCCTTATCCAGACTCTACTCGTACCTATCTCGGCTTAACAATTCCCATCCCTCAACATCCGGGCAACTGCCTCAGACAAGCTTTCTCCTTCGCGGTGCACCGCTGGTGCTCGACCTCCCTGCGAGCCCCCTTGATGCGAAATGTCGGGCACCGCTTATGTCAGCTCCTTTTCCCGGCTCGGTGGGCAGCCGGCCGGGGCCGAGTCAGGGCTGTTGACCTCATTTTCTGGTCGCTCTATGGGTCACAGGCTGAGGATAGTGGATTGCTTGGTCCGCCATCAAGCTGTTGCCGCACAGCAATCTTGGTAGTGTACATGTGTCGGGAACCCTAGTTCCATGTCTTCTGTCATCGGCACCTTGGCCGAGTGGCTTGCGAAGTTGGCAAACGAATGAGGTGTTGCAGGCACCGCCGTGAAAGGCGTCGAGATTCTTCGGGTGGAGTTTGACCCCCTTCGAAGGCAGAGGCAAAGTGCCAGTACCAGGGGGCGTTCCCGGCGCCAAAGGTGAGCCGCCATCACGACGGCCAGAGATTCTGCTGATCTTAGAAGGGCCAGAAACTTGCCGTTTATTGCTAGAGTCGACATGCTTTGTAGTATAAGAGTAATCAGCCTAATTAATATAAAGAAGAGAGAACTAGCTATTTAGGGCTCTAATATAAGTTGTATATAAGCTACTAGAAGCTCTATACTCCTAGGAAATATAGTCGTATAATCGTTATAATAAGAAGGAAAATAAATAAATTATAATTTTTAAAACCTTAGAGCTCTCTATAATATAACTTTAGATAAGTAAACGGGTATATTAGCAACGCCGATTTACTTTCTAGGATATAAGTAGAAAGATATTATACTTTATTAATACTTTATATATCTTATTAATATTAACGATTTATATTATATATTAATAGATTTATATAATCTATAAACGAAAAAGGAATAGCTTTATAACTAAAGTAGAAGAGTACTACTATTTATATAATAGTATATTATTATTTATATTAAGGAGAGTAAGTATAAGAGGCTAAAGTTATACCTAGTAGACCTAATAGTTATATATAAGGAAGCCTACCTAACTAATATAACTCCCCTAGCCTAAGGATACTATATAGGCTTAACTTAGGTATAGGAATATCTTAATGCCCTCCTTTAGCTAGCTATATATAGTTGCTATACGTATATAAGCCCCTCCCTTATCTTAATAGATAGACTAAGATATATATTATAAAATTTATCTTTCTATGCCCCTACTTCTTTTACTATGCTCTTAAGCCCCTACTTAAGAGTTATAAGCCTAGTCTATATAGCTAGATTATCTTTTACCCGCCGATATTACCTTTAAAGCTATTTACGAGCTATTAACGCCGTTATAACGCTTAAATTATAGTATTAAGGCAAGGAACCTAGCTATACTAAGGGGCACTACTAGAAATATATAAATTATATAAATTACGTATCCCTTAAAGAAGGATATTACTTATTAAGCTAGAACCCTTAATTTTCCTAAGATAATATTAAAGGAAGTAAGAAGGGATAATTATATTATAAGACTAAAGGAAAGCCTCGATTAGACCTTATAGATTAAGGGGATTAAATCGTAGGCTTAGACTTACGAGATTTAAGAATATACTAACTTAGACGGTATAAAGGAGCTTAAATAGCCCTAATAGCCGGACTAAGAGCAATTTATTATTAACCTTAGAGGGAGACCTTTTTAACGAGAAGATAAAACCGAGGCCACGTTCCTTATAAGGCGAATAGGCTATAATAAACGATACTAAGATATAAAGGACTTCTTTCGTAACCTTAAGAAAAGGTTCTAGCTATAATTCGATTGCTATAAGGTCTAATAAAAGGCCTTAATCGCACTTAAAGAATTAATTAAGAAAACGATTAGTAAAGGGCTTTAAGGGGCAACCCTAATATATAATAGCCTAAGAGAGAAAATTAAGGAATTAAAGAAGTAAGCCCTACCTTTAAGGGCAAAGGAGAAAAGGCTAATTTATAAGAGATATATAAACTCTATTAATAAAAAAGGTATACGAGACTAGAAAGCATAGGTATAATAGCTCGACTAAATTATTATAGATTTACGAGACCTTAAGGTCGATATACTTAACGATATAAGAATTAAATAGGACTTTCTTATAGCGGTAGATAAGTAGGACCTATATTAATATATAATAATAAGGGCTCTTAACCTCTATAATAAAAGATATAGTAAAGATTAACTTCCCTTAAGGAACCTAATCGCTAACTTTAAATAAGAATATACTTATAAAAAGAAGTTATAACTACTTATAAAAAGGGGAAGCGCTAATTAAATCTCTAGGAAAATAGATAACTAAGCTAAATACGCTAGCTATAAGTAGCACGTTAATAGCTTAATAAGCTAGTAGGAAAATTACTACTTACTATAGGTAATACTTAATAAGAAGCCCTTAATAAGCTAGAAATATAGTAATTTAGCTAAATAAAATATCGAAAAATAGCTAAAGGACTATCTAGATAAGAAAGCGAAATATATAGCCTCGACCCTTAATTCCTACCTTAAAGGAAGAGAACTAATAGATACTATTATTAGTAATAATAAGCTAGGAAAGACTATTAATACGGTTACTCTATCTAAAGTAAATATAGCTATTAAGGGAACGCTATTACTTACTAATAAATTAATATATAACTTAGGGGCCGATATTAACCTCTTTAATAACCTAGGTTAGTTCTAGGAAGGAACCTTTAAGTAGGTTTTAACGACGAAGTCTAAGTTAAAGACTAAGCCTTTAAGGTATAAAGAATAAGAATAGTAGTTATCCTTATAATTAATAATAGAAAGATAACTCTATTAAATACCTACTTTATCTTAAAAATACTAATAAGTATCTTCTTAGCTAGGCTAAGGATAATAGTAGGGATATTCTAAAACTAGCTCTTAAGATATATCTATTTAGAACCTATAAAAGAGATTCTTCTCGTCTATAAAGATACTATAGCGGTCTCTCCTAGTTTTATTCAGAACCTATAAAGGAGGTTCGTATTAAACTAACCGACTTCGAAGGTTAATTTATAATAGAAACACTCCTATAGCGTAAATAGGTATTCGTAGTTATATAAGCGCCTAAGCTACTAACTAAGGGGGTAGGTAACCTATAGTATCGCCGCCTTAGGTATCTTAGTCTAGGATTACTAAAGAAGCTATTAAAAGCCTACTTAAGTACTAAGCTTTAAGGCCCTATAATATATAGTTATTAGATATATATAATAAGGAAAGCTAAGAGGGAAGTCTTAAGAAAAATACTATCTTTAAAGCCTAAAGGTCTAGGGGTATAAGTTAGCTTTAACCTTTACCCTAGCCCTATAATAGTATATAACGGGGAAAAGAACTTCGCTTTATTTACTTATATAGATATATCTATAAGGTTCTATTACTTAATAAAAAGAAAAATAAGTATTAAGGATATCTTTAATAACTTTATATCGTTACTTAAGACTTAATATAAAGTTAAAATAACTATATTAGTTATTAATATAAAAAGGGCCTTTTTAATAATAAAATAAATAAATTATATAACTAATAAAAGGATATAATATTATAGGATACCTTATAGTCGATAATCTAGGTACCTATAACGATATCTACTTCCTTTAGGGAAGTTACCCTTAACTCCTTAAAGCTCCCCGCGGAAGAAGGAACCTAGAAGCTA